CACTGCTCATCAATTATAACTACCAAAAAAATTAGTGCTCCTGTTTAGAAAGAACAGAGTTCCAAGGACTGAGAGAATGTCTGCACTGCAAGTGAACACACAAGCCTCAGTCTAGGGGTCCAGAGAGGTGCACACCTCAATGTGAGCAAAAAGAGGTCTGGAGGTCTGAGGACTCAGCCGTGCAGATCACATCAATGCTCTCTCTGCCCTCTCAAGTGGCTGGATGGACAAATAAAGTTTAACAAGTCAGGGAGGAAAAAAAGCCTCTTCATGTCAGAAAACCAATCCCTTGCCTGTCTCAGGTCTCCTACACGGAGATGAGCTTAACCAGGTTGTTCTTCCTCAGTATCTTTACAGAGGTAGCATTCTAGGAAAAGACTCACATATGTAAAAACACAACACTCTTTGGGCTTTTCTGCACTCAGGCAAAAATTATTTATGCAGCAGCAATGTCTTTTATGCTTCCCCTTCAAACAACAAAAAAAGATATGTTTCTTCAGACTCATTTACAGAGTGACCCTGCTGCTACTAACACACTAAAGGCACTGTTAGAGGTTAGAATGCAAAATGATTAAGACAGCCAGAGAGCAGATATATGCTGGGGAAGCAATGTTTCAGTTGATAATACAAGCCTGAGCTGAAGCCTGTGAACACAGAACATGCTGTTCTGTCAATAAACCCCTACCCTCCTCTCCTTCTCTGCTCTAGCTCAATTACAGACTGGCAGAATGGATGTTTCAAGGTGGAGCTGGCCTATACATCACTAAGTTCAAGCAGTCAAGCTTAGGTTCAGCCACAAAAACCTCCATGTTTTCAGTAAATTGGAACAAGCTGAAGACAGAAAGCGTCCTGCATTTTCTGTCATTGCAATGTAGCTGAGTGACAAAGAAATCCTCATTTAGGCAGCTCCAGATGCCAGGCTACTTGCAGCAGTGGACAGGTTACTCCACAAAGAAATACAAACTCATTAAAACTACCTCTGTTTCAAAAAACATCACTATGCATTTTAACAGAGTTGGTTTTGTTGTACATTCATCCTATAGCCCATAGAAGATGCATTTCCTAGGAATGTAGACATTAGGCAGCATTTTTGAGATGAAGGGCATGCTCTTCTACAGCTATATACTCACATAAAAACACAATCTGGGACAACTAAACAGGAAATTAAGAAATAACTTGTAGGCTTTATAAATAATTTAAAAGAGAATGTTCCAAAATTTAGATGTGTCATAAAAGCTAACTTTAAAAGGTGAAGAAATTATTTCAATTAAACAGAACAAATGTCAGCAAGGAATGTCTAAGCATTTTAATTAATTCATCTGTAATACTATGGTGTATGCTGAGGCACAGAGCCAGTGGGGGCATATACATGCAGACAAGTTATTTCTGAATATAATTGGAAGTCTATAAGAAACACCCACTCAGACTGGGGAAAAGTTTCCTGAAATGAAATCTGTAAGAGCTCCAGAAATTTCTCTGATACCAAAGCCGGATTGCAGGACTATGCAAAAAGCAAAGCAGAAAATGGGTCTAAAACCAGGGAATCAGTTTGATCCAAGCAACTGAAAAAATTTCCTTTAACTTGATTCCTAATATATATAAAGGATTTTTGCATGAGAGCAGTTCTACTGGCTTAAATGTCAGCACTTCACACCATGCATACAAGAAAAAAATTTAAGCTTCTTTCCTGTAAAAGGACATATCAGAAAAGTTCCTTGTCAGCTGAAAGATGTTTCCTTCTACCAAAAAAAATTAAGAGGGGAAAGTACACACACAACAAGCACAATGGGTAAACAGAGCTGATACTTAAATAATTTTCCCTTAAGAAAATGTGGCTGTAAAAAGATTATATAGCAATAAGTTTTAAATTAAAAAAAAAACTCTGCTAACAGAATAGAACTGATCACCCACTGATTTTTTCATCTCTCTTAAAGACATTTCTTATTCCATCTCTTTCAAAGAATCTGATTCTGTCAATCTTAGCTTATGTTGTAGCATTGAGCTTATATTGTTATATTTGGCAAATAGTAAACACGTCACATCGTTGGTAATAAAACAACTAGAAATTGTACCCAGGGCACTCCAACTCTTTGAATCCAAAGAATCCAAACTGGGCTACATCCAGTGTATGTTATCAGTAGGATGTACTGCACTCTGTTTTATTGATTGTCATCCACAATACATTGTATGTTTGGCTAATTATTTTCTCCACAGTAAAAACATGCCCACAAATTCCAGCAGTTAGCAGTACCAGAGATGCAGCTCAAATAATGAGCTGTCATCTAGAGACATAACACTGAATTTTCCCAGCCACTACTTCTCCTTGTACAGAGCCATACAGCTCTTCCACAGCCTGTGCTCAGTCCTTTGATGGATTACTGAGGTCCTGCTCCTTAGCCCTCTGCTTCACTGACAGGTTCTCTAAAGAATTCCATTACCTCAGCTGCACATCTGTAGCAATATGATTTCGTATTTTTGAAAACTTCAATTATAATCTACAATCAAAGCCTTAATGAGCTCATGGTTGAGCTGTGGAAAGCCTTACCATGGAGGGTTTAGGTCAGGATTAACAGAAAGGATGATCTAAGCGTACACAGTAACCATTTAAAAGCGCTAAAGATGTAATCCCATCTGATGATGTGAAGTGAACCAGCAGCACTTCAGAACTGGCTTTCAGGTAACTTTGTATTCTTCCCTGAACTCCTGGAGAGGAGATTGTGAGATGGACCATGCATGTAGAATTTTACGCCATTCCTGAACTCCTGGGAGCATTGAAATTGATTTTGAGTTAGGACAATCAAAATGACAACAAAAGTTTCTAAGCTCAAAGCACTTAGGGAAGAACATTTAGCATGATCATTAAACATTTCCCAATATTTTGTCAAACCAAAATTAGGGTTTTCAGAACATGAAGTCTGACACTTTTATTCCACTAAGCATGAGAATTAGACTGGACCATGAAGATATATTTCTACAGACCTGCCTTCTGCTGTCCCCAGAGAGAGGCTTTTGCCTGACTACCCACTGTTAAACTGCCTTGCCAGGCTCCTAAGAAAGCTCCATTGTCATCCTCTGTCCTTCAAACACAGCAGGAGAAATGTCTGCAAATAACAGCTTTCTATTAAATCCTTTTGGCAAGTGAGCAATCTAGGCAGGTGCTCTGCCCCTCCAACACCCCCTGTCATGAAGGCAGAGGGAAGGTTCTTCCTAGGAGACTGTGTGGTGAAAGATAACTCAAAGTCCCAGAAACATTCTCTAGGCAAGATCAGGCTTGTGGGAGATTTCACATGGGACAACTGGAATACCAAAGTCTTGTAGGAGTAAGAAAACTGAACTTTGAAAACTGAACTTCGAACAGAGAGCAGACAACAGATATGGCAAATGAGGAATGGCAGAAGCTTTTAGGAAAGAAGCACAAACAAAGTGAGCAAAACACTGTGCAGTTGTGCAGCAGTTTGTAAGAAATTACAACTTCTGACAAAGAATGCAAGCCACACAGACAAGGAATCATTATGGATCTGGCAGGCTACGAACAAAACCACCTAAGAATCAAGTGGTGAAAGTGTCAGTCAAATCCTTGAAAAAACCTAGAAGATGATTTTATCATTGCATGCATAGAAGAATAAAGTCTGATACTTAAAGAAGCCATTCAACAATAACAGACAAGTCCAAAGAATAAGGAAAGCAAGCCACATCAAAAACTTGGAAAACACATACTCTGCTAAGTCAGAGCTGTCTTAAATACTTTTATATGGTCTATAGACAAAAACGGCAAAATAGCTATTAAAATCTACTAAACAGCATGATTACACAAGGCATGAGAGAATGTCACATTTAGTAACACAAATTCTAATTCAATAATAGCCTTTTAAATTGTGTTAACTCAAATTAATAAAATTTGAAGTGATCAGAATGCAGAAGGGAAGAGTGCCTCATGACACCTCAGTCAGCTTTCCACCAAACTAAAGTATTTGCTGAAGGAAGACAGAAGCTGTATCTGGACAATAAAACTTTCCACAACAAGGTGAAGTACTGAAGCAGAGAAAAGCCAGTTTATCATCCCAGGCACTGGAAATGAGGGCAACCTATTTGACAGAGCCTGGAAAGACACAGCTCAAGTGGAAGTTCAGAGATCAAAAAGCCACATTCAACTCCTGTTGGAGGAGCAGAAGGATTCCTCGCCGCAGTATACCAGCAGAGAAAACATATTATCTGAAAATAACACTGCAGCTAGCCTTCTTAAAAGAAAAAAATTATTTTGATAATCATGGAAAAGCACAGGTTGGAAGAGACATCTGCAGATCATCTAGGCCCATCCATTGCTCAAAATTAGACCAGGTTTCTCAGAGCCTCCACCCATGAAGATTTGAAAGTCTTGGGCTAGTTCCTGTGCTTGGGCACCCTTTGTTGTGAAGAATTCACCCTTAATCCCATAAGAACTACCAATGCAGTTTTTTCTGCCCACTGCCTCTTTTTCTTTGTGCAACTGAGAAAACCCCGTTTTCCCTAGAGCCCCCATTAGGAGACAAAGGCTGCAAACAGATCCCTGGCTCCCCGCCTTGGCCACCTCCTCATGGCTAAACCAACCCATGTCTCTCAGTCTCCCCATGATGTCTCATGGTCCATCATCTCATTTATATCCCTCACTCCAGTCTGTCTCCTTCACTGTAGGAATGGGGAGCACCAACACTAGACACTACTAATACCCCTTCATACAGGTAACTGTGCTCAACATCACAGAGTCACAAAACCAAAAAAAAAGTGCTAAATAGTTTTAAGAATACAGTGTGTGAGGAAAGAAAGAATAAATGTAAAATAAATCACACCTTTTCCTATCTACCATGGATTTAAACTTTAACAAGACAGGAAAAAACAAACATAAAGGACTTTGCTAAGTTGAGTGACACTGTTCTAATTATACTGGATTATCTTGGAGCAAAGAAGTTTTTCCATATCATGCCTTTAAAGGATTTAAAGAAAAGAAGAAAGCCACAAATTACCTTAAGAACTGAATCACTCTGAAGATTAATGGTATTTAGCCAGAAAAGACTTCAAAGACACAAAGCATCCTTCCAAAATCCAATTCACCCAGCTGCCCAGGAACAAGCAGGTTGGTTCTGCTGAAAAACTGGCAAGGAGGATATGGATTTCCTTGTTTATGGCAGTCAAACAGGAAGCTGAAGCCAGCAGATTTCCACAGCAATCCTGTAGGGCAGACTTAACTGGAGGAAAGAAATGAACTGGTACCTTAGCTCCATAAGAAAAAGGGTGCTTTACAGGCAAATTTGAATTCTCTTGAGCTCAAACCTCTTCCCCAATATCCTGCGGCAGGCCAAGGAGATTTTTTTTTTCTTTGCCAAGCACCAGAAAACTCATCTTCCTCTGAGGCCCCAGGGGACAGCTGCTGAGCCAGCCCTTGCAGCTGGTTGCTCTGGATCTTCTGGGGGATCAGCTCAGGATGCTAGGTCTCACAAAAGCGGTTCAGCTCCCTTTTTTAAGGATGAGAAACTGATGGGAGCAGCACCAAGCTTTGGTAGTTGTTGGTTACCTTGACACCACCCATAACACAAGCCAAGTAAAAAGCAAAGAAATAATTGACTTACTGAAATCTAAAAAACAACCGCCCCGTTTCTAATGTCGTGAAGGACAAGTGAACAGAAATAGAACTGTGATTTTTCTCTTTATTCTCTCAGCCTAGAGCCAGATAGAAGGGGTTTCTTGCTGTTTGTTACTTTTAGATGAGACAACTGTGTGGTGAAGGCCCTGCTCTCTGAAAAAGCCTTCAATAGTCACATTTTCCTCACAGCAGGAAATATAGGCTAAGGAAAATGTTTGCCATAAACCCCACCCCTCCTCTAGCCTTCAGCTAGATTCAAATCTTCGTTCCTTTCTCACCCTTTAGGACTGTGGTGTTCAGCTTTGCTAAGGATGCAAATTCAGTAGGTTTGTACCACCCTTCTAATGACTGTCCTCGTTTCTTTGGAAATGTTTAAAGTACAGATTGATGACATCCCTGCAAGAAAGCTATGGGGGAAAAAAAAAGAAAGAAAGATAATATTATTTTCACAGGCAGATTATAGACTGAAGAAGTAAGGACTGAATTAAAAGTTCCTCTGGCTTCTTAAATCTGTTTCACAGCCCACACCAAATATCCTGCTGCTCTGAGCCAGCCAAAAGATAAATTGAGGGAGGGGAAAAAAATAAAGATACAGTATAATCACTAAACAGAAGAAAACTGTAAATACAGCCACATAATGCCCCTCCAACATTGTAGTTTCATGCAGATAAATTCATTTCCTTTGCACAGTAGAGCTCAATAACAGTACCTTGAAATAAATACTGCAAACATATGCCACCACAGGAATTAAACCAGTAGATTAGAAACAGAAAGGATTATTTATGTAAAAGAGCTACATTGTTTATTGTTATTTAGTTTGTACAGCAGGTTCTTGAAGGCCTCCAAGAAATTATAAACTCTGCACATTTAAGTGTTGCTCATTTCTTATACCACAGAAAGGCAGCCACCCTATGACTGCTTTGCTGCCTCCCCTGCTGATTTTTTCTGTTATTTTTGCACTGTGTGGCATTTTCCCAAAAGTTATGGATTAAATTTTCAACTTAGATGAATAAAAGTTCCTGTTCTTCACAGAGTAATAAAACTCTTGAAAACAAAAATGCTTTTAGAATAAAAGCAAAGAACAAAGGCAGGAGACCCAGTAGACCACGCGCTCCATCTGCAGGAGCACGGTGGCATAATGGCATCTGGCCACTTCCTCTTCAGATGTTCCACCAAGGACCATGAAGTATCAAGAACTGGCTTATAGTCTTTATACAAGCAGGAAAAACCAGAAAAAGTTCAAATAACATCAAGTGTTTTCTCACAGAACATAAAATGTTCAAAATCAGTTGCATGGGATGCATTTGATAAAAGGGCTAATTCAGAAGAGTCTCTAAAGGAATTTTACAGGGATGGAAAACAAAACCATAAAAAAGAAAAACCCACAGACACACACCCCCACACAAACAAAAAACAAAAGCACACACACAAGACACCAATGTTTCTCATTAACAGGGCTAAGGATTTTCAATGCTGTAAAGAATGCTGTCTTAATATGATCTTGGTTATAATTCAGTCATCTCATACTCGGACATTACAGAAATGCTGTTTTGACAAAAAAAAAGTTCTAACTTCATGCAGGACACAAGATTAGAGATGGCAATATTAGGCCTCTAGAGAGCTTCTTCTAAAGTTGCAAAATTCAGTAAAAAATGGTACAGATCTTCCTTTTTGATAGGCACAAGGATTATCTTCCATCCTAAGAAAAATCTATAAAGTGATATTCTGTGAGACTACCTTGAATTGGTATTTCAAAGGGTTTCTTTGAAAAGAATGATTTATAGATCACAAAGACCAATGGGTCTTTTATCAAAGAAAATGGATTCCTTTTCTGAACCACAAAGAAAAGATTGATGATATCCTAGACCACAACCCCATTTGTGAGAGATGCATAGTGCCAAGAGACAACAGTTACAAGCCAGTTAATGCTTTACAATACCACAAATAACTCACATACTAATTACAGCCAAAGTGCTCGTGGAGTTTTGTGGAGCTTAGAAAGCAAAATTATAGCAGAGGGAAATTCACAAGGTAATTTATGTTGTCCCCCACAGAACATATTAGGAATGACAAGGAGGGTTTTTAAGTAATAAGTGCACACAACAAAATAGCAAAATTGATATAAATGTGTCTGTGTGCTGTCTTGTTTTCTTCCCAGGACTAAGAAGATTCATATATACAAAAGTCTGCTCCATGTATGAATGTTAAGATACTTCCAACATGGTCATACCCCTTCCTCAGCTCAGTGAAATTCCTACCAACTCCCTAAAGCACAGCCTACATGGACAGGCTTTAAAAATTATTATCCAGCCAGGACAAAAATGTGAAAATTTTAAAATTTTATTACCTCCAGAGTTTGGAAGTTTGGTGTTGTTTTTTTGTTTTATTTTTTTTTTCTTTTGGGGGGGGCTCAGAACAACCCTTTCTTTTGAAACTGAGTTCATTATTACCGATTTATAATTGAAGGTTAAGCTTAGCAAGAAAAAAAGCAGTAACACATTATACTAAAAAAATGCAACCCAACACTACACAGGCTTTCTGTTAGGTAAATCAGCTAGACTTTGCAATAATGATAAAATTAAGAGCAAATATTTTTCCAGTGTGCTTTAGATTCCCAGAAGATTCAAGGACAACGTTACCTATCATTAGTTTTACCACTGCTGCTCCTCTAGTGCTGTGCTACTCTCATTGTGCAGGACATAGAGACACAAGTGATTCTGCTTCTCTACTCTTTCCTTTTTTCTTTTTGCTCTTATTCTTGTTGTCATCTCTACGCTTTGTTCTTTTGGGTTAATGCAGCATGTCTCCAACACAGTCTTGGAAAATACCTATAATGTGATTTGGGTTTAGTGTCATTAAACCTGATTAGCAAGGAGTGCTCATGAAAATCCATAATTACCTCACAAAACAAGGCTTTTTTTTGCAAGGGAACGACAAAGATCTCCTGTTTAAGAGTTTGGGCTACATGGGAAAAGATATTGTCACTTTTTTCTTCACCTTGTAAATATCATAAAATACCAAGACCTGCTAAAAACATCCATCTTCTCTCAAAGCTGATTTCTAATATGAAACCAAATATACAGTCTTTATTTCAAGAAAATAAAATAAAAAGCCATAGAGAGCAAAATCCATCTTGATGGATGTGCTAGTGCTTTGGGTACAAGGCCAGACTTTGTGATTAAATCTATAATGATAAAAGAATTCCCAGCTGGATAATAACACAGTGTGGCTAGCACAAACATCACTGAACTGCTTGATCTCCCAAAACAGGGGTGTAGGAGATGGCATTGCCCAGTAGTGTGGATTAGGGACGCCCCACACAACCCCACCTCTGTGTGTATTTTTCTTTGCACTTTGGGGAACAGGGACAAGGGTGGTTGCCTTTTCTTTTTTCCTTTTTTGGGGGTAGGAGAGGGAAGGGGAGAATACTGCTCTATATTTTGTGAGCAAAAGCATAAAAAACTCTTGTCTAAGACATACAGCAGTATACATTCTTCCAAAGCCTCATTTTCATTTAACATTTAGTAGAGGACAATCTCTGCCTGTAGGTTTTTTGGTCTGTTTTCCGTTGCAAATTAAGCTGAGATCAGCCTTTGCATCAATTGCTGCTTGAAAACCTCAGCAAGAAGAAGGGAGAAAAAGAGCCTTTCTCCCCTGCAGCATCAGGAAACAGATCTAGGGCAGCTCTACTGTTGCACTCAGTGGGCAAGTATTCCCACAGACCTGTCCCTTGAGCTTTGCCAAGTCCAACAGCACTCTTGTTTAATTTTTCCAGTAATGCCATTCTCAGAAAATGACCTTGCCTGTAGCTGGCATTAGCAAAACCCAGCTTTTGTTTGCACTATTATTTTAAGAGGTCCCCAACCTCTGCAATTGCACTAAATTAGAGGGTTGCATGGTGACAACAGTGCCTGTTCTTGAGCTACAAATTACAGACTTCTTGCCACAAAGTTCTCCTCTCTGTCCAGAGCTCTTGGCCACAGGATAAACATTTCCCCATCTTCCACGCAGGGACAAAGCAGCAGTGCCTGTGCAATGGTTGCATGTTGGGCACATGCTGAACCCCACTCAGAAGCTTGATTAAGTGTCCTCTGCACCCAAATGACAGCTGAGTCTCCAGCCTGGAAAGCTCCCCTTGAAGTTCTCTAACAAGGAAAATGTGGGTGGAAACACATGTGATAAAAACAATATTTGAGGAACTCTTCGGCTCTAGGTGGTGAAGGCAAAAAACACTGACAATCTCAGTAGTGAAATGAGAAATGCAAGTGGACCAAAGTCACCTTCACAGAAGAAACAAGAAGTAAACTCTGGATTGTTCATATTAGAAGCAGGTAAAACTCCACCTGCATGCTGGCCCCTTACATGCAGTTTGATCATGATATCTAAATTACAAGAAAAATAACAAGCTAACTTCAAAAGGTCTCAAGCTTACCTCACCTGCATATATTTATGGGTACACTGAAGCATAACAAAAAAAACACCTCATTAAAACCCTGAGCTCTTTGCCTTCACTCCAGGTTTGATTAACCCAGTAAAGACCAAAATCTGCATATTACCATTTCATCCATTTTCCTCTTCAGCCCACCATATGAGACTTAAAAACTTGGAGTTGGGCTACAGTCCAGAATGATAGAAAGAATCCATGGGCATCATTGAGTACAGCTCCATGCAGGGCAACATACAAGTTAAGTTCTAAATCCAAGAGCATTCTCCCAATCCTTCCTGAACAGCAGCAAGCTTAGAGCCATAATCACTTCCCTAAGGAGCATTTTAAAGTACTTGATTACTCTCTCAGTGAAGAACTTTATCCTAATGTCCAACCTGAACTTCCCCTGACACAGCTTTAAGCCATTTGCTATTACTGGATACCAGAAAGAAGAGATCAGCACCTCCCTC